TAGACAGATGCCAGTCAGTCGAAATGTGTGCAGCATGCGCAGAGCGGCCTGGCCCAGATCGTTCCCAGAACCTCCGTTTCTTTTGGAGTGGCACTGGGAACGAGACTGGACCTGGACATTGCAACATGACCATATTTATTAGTACATATTTATTACCTTATGTATTCCACCTGCATTACATGAAGTTAACAAGTTTGAAAGTACGACTTAAATGGCTAAGTACTAAACAATCAGCAACAAGTCTACTCGACCGCAAACAGTCGTTTTGAGTTACGTTCGGCGCGATTGGGTCTCTCACTGTGTGGTCGCACGACAGTTTATTATTCCAGTTTATTTATTGCCATAAGTTACAATTTACAGTACCCGCGTATAGCGTAGGCTAACAGGGGCGGGCATCATGGGGACAAATTAAGCCTCCTGAAGAAATACAAGTTTCTACCCAGTCATGTGAGCGAGTCTTTTTACGTGAAAGTTATCCAGCCATCCATTACTTAAGCGATGCTCCTTTGGGGTAGGGTTAATCAGACACAGTTATTTAAAACATTGGAAAGAGAGCAATGCCGTGCTGTTAGAATTATTTTTGGATTTTAACCGGACATGCCAACGGTCGACGTTTTAGCTACCGCTAAGTGGAACACTATAACACATCTGTAAAATTGTTCCTTAATTAAACTTTTTTACAAGGGTTATCACGGAATGCTCCCCTGCAAGTTGATTGTCCAACGGCAACAGATCTTCAAGACTGAAGCATGGGCTGATAGCTCCTAGTTTTGCCTCCAAATACGTTCAAAACTCCATTTCCTATAGAGGGGCTGTCCTCTGGAACGCTACAGGACGATCAAATGGATCGATCGATACTAGAGTGCACAGACGTGAAATCCTCTTTGAAAAATGTTGTTAATTGTCGCACTTTTAAGGATTTTAATTTTAGTGTTTTAACCCCACAAATAATCAACAACAGATCTTAGAATTTTATCTATTTTTAACTATCGACTTAATTTGCCAAAATTATATCTTTTATAAGAATGATTATTATCCTTTAATCGTAGCTTCTTAATTATTCTTAGCATTTGTATCTTTTTATCTAGTACACGTCACAACCCCACAAGCTTGTTAGGTTTGAAATTTGTTAATCGTGTATAAATAAAGGTTGTATATATGTATGTATGTATTGTAATAAATAATACGCCATTAAGTCACAATAAAAAAAAGGATAAAACTAAATCCGCTCTGCAGCGGCTGCTGCGCTCAGACCACAGCTGTAATACGGCCGAGATACGGCTGTTGTACAGTCCACAAATATTCCATGGTATGTTCTCGACAATAACCTGCGAAGAACTCAAATGTAAAGCCGTACATTAATGGTCTCGGCAATAAGAAAATCTGGTGGACATTTTTTGCGAAATTAGCGATCGAGCCCAGAAAACACGGGCCATAGTTTTATAGGTGAGAGGTTTTCACATCATTCTTGCTGAGGTCACTAGAGTGTTTAATTCATGATAATAAAGATATTACTTTTGTGACCTTGACTTCTTTTAATATATGCTTGTGCATCAGTTTTCAGTCGATTTCTGTGTACGTGGAAGTTTTTAATATTAAATACGAGGGGCCAAGATCCAATGCGAATTTCTACACAGACCTGATAAACTTGCTACATAGTTCCCGGAAAGCTTAGGGACTGAGCCAGTTTTTCAATTCCTTTCTTTGAATTATCTTGGCGGGTTTTTTTGCATTCTTTGAAAAAGTTTTCCAACAAATTTTGAAATTACACCCGGGAATTGAATTCGAAACATCAGCGCATTATAACCCCGTTGTTAGAGAAACAAGAGTGACAATGTGGTAAAAGTCACATATAAACTCTTGCTCTTTGGCCATTGTAGCTTGATTAGAAATACAACACAAACAGCGGTGATAAATATTGTACACCAACGTATTTTTATACTCTTCTTTTCTTACTGCGAAAGTTTCCCGACACAAGCAACTTTTGAGAGTTCCTTTTTCATCGATCTTGAGGGAAAAACTTTTGCATTTTGTTTGAAGATTGCAGAGAAATGTGATGTCCTCGAGGGAAGGTATACAAAGCAGCGCTTTCCATACAAAAACAGGGACGATGGCAAAGACACAAGATTAAAATCAGTACAACGCCGCACGAGAAAAATCCTGCGCGGGGCGTCGTATGTACTACATGAATCGCACGATTTCTATTGGTTTAAAACCTTCCAGCAAACTTTCCAGTGTTATCCAAACTCTCGTTGTAGAGGCCCTCCAAAAGTATTTATCCGAACTGCTTCGCTGATCTTCAGTTGAGTGTGAGCTCTAGCCAACCTCTTGTGTGTGTTCACATGATTTTAAGAACAAGAACTGAACAAAAATGTTAATTAAAATACCATGACCTTTATTAAAAAGTAATTCAAAGTGAAGCGTAGCTTCAGTAGAGTGAAGCGACTATATTTCTACTCCCCCCTGGATGGGATGCTAGTCCATCGCAGGTGTACCTCCAGAGGTATTCATTTTATACACCTGGGTGGAGAGTTTTAGCACAGAGGGCCACTAGTTTATCAGTTTATACTGCCATGTGTCACCCTCTCTAAATAAAGTTGATTGATTGATTGACTGACTGATTGACTGATTGATTGATTGCCGGATTGATTGATTGATTGATTGATTGATAGATCGATCGATCGATCGATTGATTGGAGAGGCACTGCAGTGGCGGATCCAGACCTTGAGCTAAGGGGGTGGGGGCGGTTGTGTTTTACTTGCCCTGCCGGCTTTTCTTCTTTCTGTCATTTCTTCTTTTTACCCAAAATAGGGGGGGGCGGGCCCCCCGGGCCCCTCCCCTAGATCCGCCACTGCCTGTGAGAGTTAATAGTCTTGCCCAAGTACATAACTCATTGTCCCCGATTGGGGCTCTAATCGATTCGGGGTCTCGCACGCTAACCATTGCGCCACCACGCCTCTCACAAAACTATAATTATCCAATCACAAGTCTAGTTCTACTGCCCTGACTTCCAACATTACATGTCAATTCACTGACCCGATATCACCTCATCTTAACCGGCCGAATTCAGGAGGGTCCTGTCGAATCTGGGTAATGTCGATTCCCAAGCTTAGGTACGCTTCGACAGCACTTATCAGGCTCGTTTGGTCTCGCAACAGTTATTTTGGCTCTACTGCGTTTCGCCAAAATGCTCACCATAGTTCAACCAAGCTCGTCCGATATGTCACCACCACGCATGGAAAAAGTTTGATTAGGTATAAAATCGCTTACATTCCTGTTTAAGGTTGACAGACACAAGGGGACAAGTCCCCGGGGTTTGACTGGTCCCTGCGACAAGTCCCTCGAAGAGTTTGTAAACACAATAGAGGAATAGTCCCTGGCTGAAACAAATCCCCTTCAAGGCTCTTATCACAGGGATCAGTCCCCGGGTAAACTCTTGATGGGGCTTTTCGCGGGGACAAGTCCCAAGGACTTGGGTTTCGACCTTTTGGATGTGGACGGAAGTTTGAACTTGTCTCTTGAATTTTTTTAAAATTGTAAGCGCTTGAAGACTGGCCATAGGCTGGCTCATTTCAGTTTCCGTTGTTATCTGAGCCTGAATGAAAAATAAACAGAAATAAGACCGGACTCATCGTGGAACCCTGCCTCTAGGCCATCCCGTTTACACGGCCACCTCGTTATCACGGCCACTTTATTCTGGCCCGTACAAAAGCTCAGTCAGTCATTTTCTTATTTGAAGACACCTTTAATACGGCCACCCCGTTAATACGGCTAGATTTTTGAGATTTTTGTGGCTCTTTGGTGACCGGATTAACGGGGCTCCACTGTACTTGAAATTAATTTACACTCTAGTACGTATACTTCTGACAAAAATGCAGTTCATACTTCATCAACATTTTATTGAAACAAAAAAAGACTTCTTATATCGTTTGCCGCATTTTGCGTATTTTTCGGTTTGGAGGCGTTTTTGATGTACAAACTTACGTAAACTTTGCGCAATGACAAATTGTATGATCTGTGAAAGCCTTTGAAAAAAAAAAAAAAAAAACGTCAAAAAAGTTACTCGCACTCGGGCAATAAACAGCTAGCCGGCGTGACTGAGAACTGTCGGTATAGGAGATTTCAAGAGATTAAAATCCCTGACCTAATCAAGACTTTAGTCAGTATCTTCATCCTATATTTGTCACGAAAATTCACCTCTGCTTACTGGAGCGCGCGGATTATTGTACCTATTTTAAATGCTAATGAGCATATCGTGACATTTAGTCTGTGTTACTTTGATTTAGTAATACCACGAAAGACTCAGAAATTGGGATTCAGCTAAATTCATCGAGAACTCTTCAACTAGTTCTTCAGTATTCTTTAAATAATACGTTACGAGTAATTATTCATAAAATTTACGGGGGCGAGAGTCGTTCAAGAAAGGTCGTTTTCTCCTGAGAAACGTTTTGGAATTGTTTTTCGATTGCGTGCTCAGAGATTTCCGTTCAGCCAGGTTTAATTGTGAATAGCGTTTTATTTTAGATTTTAATTCGCGTCATTATTGAAAACCTAGTAGTGTATTGTCTGAGAAGATAGAAAGCCAACATGCGATTGAATAATTTACATCTTTCATCCTGATCACGGAAATTTTGCGTTATCCTTAGAACCAGTTTGCTTTTGAATACACGTACTTTCAATATACACAAGCCTCCACTTTTTCGGAAGAAAATGGAGTCTGTAAAACTCGCTTTGTCATATCGCAAAAGAAACATTGCGACCAGGGAACACATGAGAAGATTTTTGAAAACTGCTTTTTCCCTGACAGAAAATTTTAACTGCGTTTTACACCAAATAGAGCACGAAGTGAGTGGGCTACCAGAGTGATGTAACTCTTCCGGTGTAGTTGAAGGAGGAAGCAGTAAAAGCGCGAAAGCGAGGCAATCTATTGTTTTCTTCGGCTCCAGGCCCCTTATATTGTGGTCATAAATTAAAATATTAATGACCATTTGACGGCTGCAATGCATTATGGTGGGGTTGGGCCCCCCCGCGCTGTTGAACCATCGCTTGTTGCGCTTCACGGCATTGACACAGGGAACATTTCAGAACGCTATTTTACTTGAAGTTTTCGTTTGTAGTTGAAGCTTTACGACAGGGGAAAGCAGATTCTTCTGGAGGAGTGGGGGTAATTCCTTCGTCGAAGGTCACTTTCAAAAGATCTTAAAGCCGTCTTGTGCTGTTTTGTGCGGTTCGTGTATCATAATGCTCTGAGTACGACAATGGTGAGCGGCCATGATTTTTGTTTTTACTTCTGCGCAAATTTTGTAGTAGTACGGCTCGTAGTTCCTTCAATCCATCGGTGAGATTCTGTCATTCAGCCAGATTGTGAATCTAGTGATTGGATTTATTTTCAGGGGACCAAGGCGCTTCGCCGTTTTCAAGGCAATGACTATGTATGATCAACAAGTCGTTTTCGTGTAGTGGGTTTTTGTATTGTAGTAGTAATGGCCGAGCAACTGGTAGACGGGCCACCGAATAAGCGAGCGAAATTAGGAGCCCCAGACACACCAACCGACAATGCAGGTAAATATAATCTTAACGAATTTTTAGTCTCTATTTAGGTACGCTTTGAGTTTGCAGTAATAGTGAGTCCTCCTGTATATATGAGCTTATCTTCCGTTCCTTGAACTTATTTAAATTCCCTTCTTCCCTTTAAAGAGTTCAATTGGAAGTTTATGGAAGACCTGGATGCCAGTTTACCCGATGAACTCGGTGGACCCGGAATGATTCCCAATTCCGATGGTCTAACTAATGGTGAATCAGCTGATGTTGCGAGCGGTAGCTCAAGTTTGCAGCAGATTCTTCAATCGAATGTTTCCCTGTCAAGTGGCGCGAGCTCTACGCTAAACTCCAGTGCCATCTCTACGACAGTTAGCGTATCTAGCCCCAATAGTCCATCGTTGACTACTTTAACTTCAGCTAAAAGTCCGGCAGTGAACAATTCTTTGTCATCGCCTCCTCAAATGCCAGTGAGTACGAGCGGGACTCCGACTCCTGCAACACCGCTCACTTCTTCTAGTGACCTCCATCTTGTTAGTGTGGGTTTGAGTCCTGCCCCGTCATCTTCTTTGCCGTTGTCAACAATGAGCTCCGCTTTGCAAGGTAAAGCAAGGGATGCACGACTGCAAGTTGCAGCCCAGTATAGTGGCAATTCACTTGATATGAACATGCTTGCCAATAACAACGCAATGATGGCATCTATGAATGGACCGAGCTCGGCGACTCAATCGATCGCTTTGAATACGCCGCACGGCAGCGGAGCGACATTTTCACGAACTAATATGAACGTAACTAATTCCGGGAGCAATCCGTTTCAAAATTCGCTTCCTCAACTACAGCAAGAACAGTTGGCGAATAATTTCGTTGGTCATCCTGGTATGAACGGAAGCCCAGACCAATCCAGAGTTTCTTTAGGCCAAGTAAGTTGTTTTTTTTTGTAGTTCTCTGTAGTAACTGGCTTCTGCATTGATATTTCATGGCTGTCAAACGGTAGATGTCCTTTTCCTTTTGCCTATTTCCAGTCATCTTCAGTCGACTCTTTTTCGTTCTAGGGACCAAGTATTTTTCGTGAAAATGAAAAAGTGTTTCTTAAAAAAACTGTACGGAAAATGAAAAACTATCGTTGTTTAGGTAGTGCAGTGATTTTTTTCCTTCTTCGTCGACGTTTGATGTGTCATTCCTAAACATCACACATGTTGTAGTGTCTTGGTATTTTAATAAGAGTAACATACCCTCGCTATGTCTTTACATCGTATGCCTTCTCTTCGTTACTGTACGATTTTTATTGATGAAAAAATAGGTTAGACACGTTGTTTTGTTAATTGAAAGAGACTGTTACCAGTCATATCTTTGAAAGTGTTACTACAGTTTGAATCTTTTTGGGGGTCCAATTGTTATGGTACAATGTAAACTCGCAAATGTCCTCTTTGAAGCTATTATAAACAGTAGCTATTGGGTAACTGTTTTATAAAATCATTTTACTGCACATGTAAACAGAAATTCTTTTATTTCTAACTTTTGAAAATCTGACCACTGTATTGTGATTACGATTTGACTTATGATCTCCAAACTACACAGATTGAACAATCGTACAGGTTCTCCTCATGTTTTAGAATTGGACATTTCTCTTGGTTTTTTACCGAACGTTTTCCACTAGGTGTTACATTTTGCTTAAAAGAACTCCTGGGGGCTCTCCTTCAAGTGTTCGTTTTTAACCTATACTTGATGGGTGTATTTCAGAGGGAAGTTTTATAGCAGTTTGGTCTTTTCAAATAAACTTATTTCTGTCTGCCTAGAACATTTTTACAGACAATAAATGTCTGTAGAAATGATGTCACAAGTTTAAGTTTTTATGAGTTAGAAGTTTTGTTTTTAGCCAATCAATTAAAATAAAATGTAAACTAAAGTTAAGTCATGGAGACATGAAACAAGGATGTTTCCAACAACATTTTACTGTTGTGGTTACTGTAATGTCAAAGTTTATTTCCATTTATATTTCCACATTCAGTTTTGTTATTGTTTGAGATGTGTACATTGTTTTGTCCTTGTGTCTTTACTTGAATTTTGTTACTTCAGATACCCCTTTCTGTTCAAGAAAGTGTCATGATTTTATTGCGTGGGACATTTGCAAATGCTGAGTTTTTAGGGGTTGTGACTTTTTGGCATGTACTTCAGTTGGCAGCTAGATTGGTTCTTTATTCAGTGAATACTTCGATCTCAAGAGATCACTGCAGTATTGAGATTGTTCCTTTTTTATCATAAATAATTTTATTGTCATGATGGAGAATTCATCAGAAATATCAATACAGAGCCTCATAAGTCATAATTAATTAATCCATTATCATAAAATTGTAACAGTAACAGTGAAGGCAGTTTCTGTTTGGGGCTATTTTTTTTAATCATTTGCCCCTTATTCCACTTTTAGGCTGGCACTGGACTAGCTCAACCTCCAACAGCAGACCCAGAGAAACGGAGATTAATACAACAACAACTAGTGCTTTTGCTTCATGCACATAAATGTCAGCGTCGAGAACAGAATGCCCAGAATGGTGCAGTGAAGCCTTGCAACTTACCTCATTGTAGAACTATGAAGAATGTGCTCAATCACATGACAACATGTACTGCTGGAAAAACATGTCAAGGTTTGTAGAATTGTTTGATATAAGAGCAGTTAATGTTGAAAATAATCGCTCCTTAGGTGAAAATGAGAAAACATTTAGTTATCCATTAAATTGACCACACAACATTAAAAATGAATTTTAGTATTACTCAGATCATTTGAAACCATAAAACATTTGATTTCACTAGTTGGTATAGTTCTGGAATTTACTGTCAGTGTAGTACAATCATGTGTATGTGTCCCACTTGTTAAGGACCATGTTAGAGTTATTTGTAAATTTGACATCTCAATAATGACAGTGTTTTGTTTGTCAGCTGGAAAGCATACAAACAACTAGAACAACAGCAACACCTCTGCCATGTAGTTATTATTGTTCAGGTCATAGAACTAGTTTTCAGAATTCCCATAAAAAAGGACCTTGAAGGTAAAATATTTATTCTGTTAAGTGCTATCATGTATCTAGACATATCTTTGTTCAATGTTATTGTGTTAAGAATGATGTTGTGTTTTTGTTTCAGTTGCGCATTGTGCCTCATCACGACAGATAATTTCACACTGGAAAAATTGCCTGCGACAGGATTGTCCAGTCTGTCTTCCTCTTAAGCATGCATCTGATAACAGAAATAGAGGTATTATTTAGAGTAATCGATTTAGTCTGATCAGAAAACTTAGCTGAATCATTTTTTTACACACACAAATAAGTGTTTGACACAAATTTGGTTGGTTTTTCAAGAGAGTCTAATTATATACACAATAACTTATATTTGGTCCAAAAATGTGCACAGTGTAGATGTTTGGTTTTGGATATACAGTAACAAGCTTCCTGAGGAGTCCAGATGCAATTGTTGAGGAATAGAAACTTTAAACTTTAGGACAAATCTTAATTTTGTGCTCAGCCATATGTTAGCCATTGTTAAGCATGACTTCATTCAATTTTCAGTAACTCTCATTTATTGCCAAATTTATACTGTTGAATTCCAAATCTTTACTGACAAATAATGCAATGTTTGATATCCAATTAGATCATGTTTTTCATGGCTTTACACATTTAGATGCAATCGATGGAGAGAATGGAAAAACGGAATCGTGCTTGAAATTTAAGACACAAATAGCAATTTTGAAGGAAAAGCACATTTAAGTTAGAAGTTAAATTTTGTGGAAAATGACTATTGATTGATTCCTTCAGAAGTACTAACATAACATAAAATGTATCCTCCTAACATTTTCGGTAACAAAAGTGATAGTTTTATCAAGCTATGACAAGCAATGCAGGCTTTCATAATTTTACATGTATGTTGTAGCCAGTAAAAAGGAAGCAAATCCTTTCATAATTTTGCATTGCCAGTGGTTAATTTGGATCACTTGCAAGCAGTCGAGCAGTCTGGAGTTGAAAATGTACTGAATCAGAAATATTGAAGTAATTTACTTTCCAAACTTCAGAATTTTGCATGAAACATGCATTTAATTTATACATAGTTTATAACATAATTTAAGTGTAATTAAGTAAGGTGTTACTACTGATTTTTTTTTGGGGCCATACCTAGCATTTTCAATTAGCTTTGTACCAGTCTACCCTTGATCAGTTTGTAGTCCAGATTATACCAGTTACTGGAAATTAATTGAAGTTTAATAGAACTAATAATATACATGAAAAAATTACTCGATTCTGATTGGCTGAGAGCAGTGCAGTTCAAGTGTAACACCAGTGCAAAAAGTGTACACCAGTGCAAATTACACATCGTAATTCTGGGTTATGATTGGCTGAAAGACAATAGGAAATTTTCTATGCCAATGATATGACATAAAATGATAATGAAAATTTGTGCGGAAACTTTGAAACAATTTTTCCTTGAATGAAAAAAATGGCTTCAAGAAAGATCTTCTGTCACTTCCTCCCCACAAATTTTTTCATGTTTCTCGTTCAATTTGAAATTAATTTGGAATTAATTTGCACTTGTGAGTGTTTCAAAAAGCTGAAATTGCACTTGCTGAAGCGACTCGTGCAATTTTAGCTTTTTGAAAAACTCACTTGTGCAAGTCAATGCCAAATTTAACTCGAAACCCTATGATTACCTATACATATTGCTTGATATTTTCATGGAAATGATAGAAAAAAAATAAAAAAACATGTACTCAAAATTGGTAAAACTGATAAATGCGATAAAATATCGTAATTAAACTATACTTTTTCATAAAAATAGTAAACTGGTAAATGAACACCATATTGATGAAAATGCGTTAAAATAATTCAGAATGTGTCCCGAAGTTATGTTTGGACATAACAAAAGCTTTCTTAGCTTTCTTTTTTTGTTTCTTTTTTTACTGCTTTTGTTCATCCTATGAGAAATTATTCTCTCAAAAAGTAATTTGAGTATCAGTAATTGACAATGGTTGGTTCCACGATTCTTGTCATCTTGTGAGAACCAAGTACAGAGAACTGAGTTGCATTTCAAGTGAATTTAGACTCTATACTCGCAAGAATCTGGAATTGAGTGTCGACTTAAATTCGCTTTGTATTGTTCTGCAAGGAATGTCCTATAGCTGGCTTTTGACCAATACAAAGTTCTTATTTTTTACTTATTTCTTTGGTCTTGTTAATGCATGGCCAACAAAGTAACATTGTTGTATGTGTACAGCATCTGTTAAGAAACTAAAACCAGTCCTGTGTTCCTTGACAGTTCCAGGTAATGTGCCAGGCCTTGAAAGGGCATATGAAGCTCTTGGGATAACTTTGGCAACAAATGGGGAGCCAAGACTGCGACCATATCCTGGTAAGAAATCATTCGCAGACTTTGTGGTCTTAGGGTTAGATCTTTACATATCATGCAACGCTAAATTAAAGTGGGAATATACAGGGCTCACGAAAAGTGCCAATCATCTAGGATAAGTAGATTTTCCTGTGGGGCAAGTTACTTTTCATGTCCACCTGCCTGACAGATAGAACACCAGGAAAGTCATTTGCCAATCAAGTCATTACAAAGGAAACAAAAAGGACATGCAGTTGCATTTGACAAGCAACATTTGAGAGTTGCTTGGCTAAAGGGCAAGCTCGAATTCAAATTTTTTTCGAGCTCTGACCATAGCAATGGATAGTCTAGAATCAAATGTTCTTCTTTTCTGTGCAATAATATATGACAATGTCAGTACTTATCACTTCACTTGAATGAAGTAAATTTTCACAGATTCGTATCCTTTGAAAGCTGCATAATGTACTGTTTCCTGTTTTCTTGAAAATTTTCATGTAGTTAAGTATAAATAGCACACGTATTAAAGTATGATTTTTTTTAATTTTCAGGTTCAAATACAAACAATCTCTTGAGGCCAGATCCTACTATGTCACTAACAGGTCAGTGTTGTGAAATGTTGCAGGATCTCTATGCTACAATCAGTTGATTTAAGGTCTGATCAGACAGGACCAAGAGTTGATGATAGTTAAGCTATCTGGCTTGTTTGACCATAAAACCCTTGCACATTCTCATAAAATACTCTTGTGTGCACTCATCAGATTTGAACTTCCTCAAAAGACAAAGTTTCACAGGACTCAATTTCTTATTCTAAGTCCCTTTACAGCAACTTTTCAACAGCACGAATACTCTAAAGTTCAAACCAACTTATGATTGTTTTTTTGGCTGCTGTCAATCATAATTCCAGTGACAACCTACAAACTTTGAGAAAAGAAGCAAAGTGGAACAAAACGTACCAATTGTAACTCACAGACGTGACCTTTAGACCCTGTTGAAGTAAACTTCTGTTCCCCAAGATGTCCGGTTAGATGATTGATGCCAGTAAAACATGAAACCATTAATTATGCAGAGCTTGTGTGCAATTGAAAGCTGCACAGTAAAACAATGAAACATCTTTTCCTAATTTTAATCATTGTCATTTGTACTATTTGTTTGTAAAGCAGATAGCAAATCATTTGGTGAGACATCAGCCACTGCTACAAGGTAAGCGCTGTTCCTTTTCAGGCTTTATTTTAAGTGATTTATTTATTCAAGTCTGTGAATTTGAATTAAAAAAATAGTGGAAGGGTTTTCTGAGCCACTTTAGTTTTTCAAAACATTAAGGTGACTTTTAAAACCATTCCACAATTTTTTTTTGTTAGGAGTTGAATCTTGACAAGCTGATTACAATTCAATAATAAACAAGTGGTTGTCATTGATCTTTTTTTTGAGTATTGAGAACTTTAATTGAAAACTTGGGTTGTCTTAAACAGATCATACCATTTCCATGGTAACCAATAATGTCAAAACAATCACCATAACTTATTTGCCCATGTTTTGCCATTATTTTGATACCATTTTCTATGGAGTTATCAAATTATAGGTGCTGAAAAATGTGGAAAACTGTTGCCAGCCACTTTAAATTTTGGTCTATGATTAGTTTTGGCTGCTTGTTTGGTGTGTTGTTATTGTGTTTAACAAACCATACTTATTAAGTGGTGGCAATCATCAAATACCTTGTGACAAAGTGTCGTCACATCTTCACATTCTAGAATAATCCCATGACCTGCGTTTTCTGTTTTACTGGCTTGGTAAACACTAGTTTTCTGAGGTGCATGTTCTCTATCTGTATGTCATCAAAACCACAAACATATTTCTCTTTGTAGCACAACAGCAAATGGAAATCGTGGTCCTAAAGAATGGCATCAGCATGTTACACCAGATCTCAGGAATCATCTTGTACACAAACTGTAAGTAATGTTCAGTTGAATTCATGATTTTACAGTAGTTATGAGGCAGAATATTTAATAGATGTTGAAGAAATATTTTGTTAAATCCATTCTATCAATTTCAGTGTTTCGCTTAAGTGTTGGGAATATCGGTACAGTACAACTGAGAAAGAAAGGTGAAAATTTTTCTTAACATTTTGATCGTTCAGTGAAGGTTAACTGTCAAAATATTTGGAATTGTCTTTGAAAGTCATGTCTTTTCAAATTTTACATGCATCTTGTGAGACCACAAACCTTTTAACTTTGTCAAACCTTAGACTGCAGCCATGTATTCACTGAGATGGAAGCATTTTTAATCTGAGAGTTGAGATGATCTTTAGACAATCTACATTTGTCTTTGCTATTTGAATCACTGAGACTCAAAGGAAATTGCAGTCTTAAAGGGAATGGAGAAAATCGTTTAATTGTGCCAATGAACTACCCTTAAGTTAAACACTGAAATTTTGTCTTGCAGGGTCACGGCAATCTTCCCGACCCCAGTACATGATCCTGCTGCCCTTAGAGATCGGCGAATGGGTAACCTTGTTTCCTATGCAAGAAAAGTAGAAGGGGATATGTATGAGACAGCAAACAGCAGGGTATGTGCAGAAGTTGTGTTATGAATGTCTAAATGTTTGACCTTTTGAAAGTGAAATTTAAAGAAGGTAATTTTTAAAGGTCCTATAGATGTAAAACTTTTCTACAAAGGGCTGCAAATTTCACTAAATGTGTTTAAAGTTAATTTCCAGTCTACTGCACACCCTTGAGGGTCTGTTTCTGTTTTTGCTTTGATTCAGGTAAGAGGTCACAAAATGTAACATTTTGCAACTAAATGAAACTACTCTGTAGCTGTAGAAATGAAAGAAATGGCCGAAACTTCTAACCTATTATTTCAAAGAACATTTAGCTTCTAATGTCAGGCAAGTTACCTAGAAATAAAAAATATCAATCACGGAAATGATAAACCGCACAAGTCTCAGAGCTAGCATGTATGCCAATCAGCTGAAATAAAAGTGATGGAAGATTTTTTTTTTCAAAGGGAATTCTGAAAATATTTCTTTTATTTTAGGAGGAATATTATCACCTATTAGCTGAGAAAATATACAAAATTCAAAAGGAACTAGAAGAAAAACGGCAAAGGAGACAGTTACAACAGTTTCGGAGCACCATTGGAGGAGCACATGGTAAGAGCAATGTTATTTCTATGAAGTTGCTTTACAAATTAAAAACTTAAGACATGATTGATCTTTCTTATATTCACATGTAAATTTAGAAATGGTACATATTCAGCTACCTGTGCAAGGATTTCATAGAAAACATGTCTCATGAGTTCCCATGACTGGCCAGATGTTTTTTGTGAGTTATTTTGTAATGCAAGTTTTTTTTTTTTTTTGCCTCTGTTTATTTTAGTTCCTTTTCCTCAAATCAATGGAGAACTAGGCACTTCTCAAATTCCTACTGCAGCAGCAGCCCAGGCACATGCTGCAGCGGTTGCTGCTGCACAGCAGCACAGCAGACAGTTTGATGTAACCCAGCCTACTTCTGTACAGCCTCAAAACACCTCATCACAAGCAGCACCCATGACTTCACCACCTCTACCAGGCAGGATGTCACCTCTTCAGCAAATGTCAGTTCAGGCACCCTCTACACAGGAGGCAAAACCAATACAGCCTTCTGTAGCTCCCCTTTCGAAACAACAAGTAGCTGGTCAGATGTCTCCGTCAGGACAGATGATGACACCTCCTCGTTCCCAAGGAAAAACTCCACCTCGTGAAAGTGGCAAAAATCTCTCAGTGACAAATACTACTCAGGCACAGTCACCTGCGTCACAAGGGGATCAGTCGAATTCAAGTGGATATGTATCTGCAACTGAGAATAAACCTAATATTCAATCTCAGTTAAATATCAAGACTGAGCCTTCAACTCCTCCACCTGCACAACCTCAGACAGGACAGGTATGTTGTCCTTGTAGGTCCTAGTAACAATTAGGTTAAAATCAGTAGCTGGTGGAAATGACTTGTTTGTTTGTTTGTTTTTTTGAAAGAAGAGTTTGCTCCCAACATGCTGGAATGGCAAATAGTGGGTGTAATAAATTTGTTGGGGGTAACCCATATGTGGTTGATTGGCCGATTGGTACATGCAGTCTGTCATTTATTTTAAGTTTGGTTGTGGTCCCACCCAGGAGGTGTAGTAGTAGTTCTAGCTAAGTTTAATTAATGCTATAGATATTCAATGTAAGGTCTGGCCAGTTGAGCCTCAAGGCTTGAAGGTAAGGCTGAACATCAGTGAATAACTTGGTGTTTATTTTGGTAATTCAGATTCCAGATAGTTCCTCTGGCTCTGTACCAACACCTTCTCCAGCGCAGAGCACTTCCGCCACACCTCAGATAAAACAAGAACCTCAACCAACGGCAGCATCATGTTCAACGCAGCCTGTAGCACCTCCCTCTGGCTCCTCCTTAACATCATCATCATCCTCAATACCTGCGCCAGGCACAACAAGATATCCACTAAAGAAAGGTGAGAACTGCCATACAAGGTCGAATCCTGGATCAGGCATCATAGGTTGCTTGAGGTTGTTGTTAGTTCTTGCATTTCTCTGAGGTTCTCTGGTTTTCCTCCCTCCACAAAAACCAACACTTCAAAATTCCGATTCAGTCTGGAAACAGTGGACAAAGAGCCTCTCCTTGGGATATGTTACTGCATATTTGTATTTATTGTTTTATTATTAGCTTGTGGGAGGAATTTTTTTATTATACATCTGCTTATCATAAAAATTATAGTTATCACAACTGAGTGCAAAAGCTTCTTCAAATGTAAAGTTACATTAAAATGTTGCTTGCTGCAGTGTCCACCAGCCCATTAAAAGCAGTGTCACAGCTGTTTACTTAAATGCAAACTGAGGGAGCATAATTTGCAAGACCCTCTTTGTCTCCTTATTTAATTAACCTCAAGCAATGAAACAAGTTTATCAAAAGTAGCGGAAAATGGACAAGCTTCAAGTCATGTCTATGGGGGAATATCTGCTGCGTTATTGACGGTTCTTGTTTGCAACTCTTTCAGTTTTCCTCCCGGAGGAGTTACGGCTAGCTCTTATGCCCACTTTAGAGAAATTGTATAAACAAGAGCCGGATTCACATCCCTTCAGGCAACCTGTGGACCCAAAATTGCTTGGTTGTTTGGTGAGTTTAAATCAGTGAGACAGCTTGTGTGTATATATACACTGTGTCTCTTACAAAAAGTACCCCTTCACTGTCAATCGTTTTGTGTTGAATAGTAATAAAGCAGTTTCATGACCGATTGTTTCACATTTTGCAGGATTACTTTGAAATAGTGAGACATCCCATGGATCTCTCCACGATTAAACGAAAACTGGACGCTGGACAGTACAGTAACCCCTGGGAGGTTTGTATGGCTTTAACCCCCTCCCCCTTCAGCATAACTCTGTTATGTACAGGAACTACATCGCATTCTGTGTTCCAGCTTTTCATAGAAAAAATCCTGGAAACTCTGGAAATGTCAAAACTTCTAAAAGGAAATAATGTTGTTGCTTTTTGACTTGCAGACAGGTTGGTTTCCCGGTTTGATTAAAAAGTTATTTTGTCAATAAATGGTAGACCCTTTCCTCTTAATGTAAAAAATGCTGGCAGTTTCTAGGTGAAGCATAAAAAGTTAATTAATTTATCTCTTTCTTTTTGCAGTACTGTGATGATGTCTGGCTCATGTTTAATAATGCTTGGTTGTATAATAGAAAGACCTCGAGAGTTTATAAATATTGTACAAAGGTAAGAGGTAGTTGATGCTTGTTTATTGGGGCTACAGAAATTGTTCCGTTTTCTGCCAGTTATTATGTTACTGGTTCTGGATTAGTTCAATGCAAAATTATGGGGAAAAAAAAAAACATCACTAGTGTGGTTTTGGTTTTGCATTGTTGTATACATGTATTTATCACCAAATGTTTTAATCTCACAGTTGTCTGAGGTTTTTGAACTAGAAATTGATCCTGTAATGAGAAAGTTAGGATACTGCTGTGGAAGAAAGGTAATTCTGTGTTACATTATATGTAGCTTTTGTGTGTGAACACTTTTTTTTTGTTTATGCTTTGCCTTGGGGCTAATTCATACACATATTGTTGTGCTTTCAGTATATATTTCACCCGCAAGTGCTGTGTTGTTACGGAAAGCATTTGTGTACAATTCCAAGAGATGCTACCTACTGGACTTATCAAAATCGGTATGTTGTTTTGGAAGTGACGGTAGACACTTGCATATTGAAATGAGAGCAAAACAAGGAGTGTGACTTTTCAAACTTCACCTGATTACAGACAGGGAGGAGTAAGGTCTCTGACAACAAGAAGCTGGAGAATAAAATAATAATAATAATGGTTTCTTGGGGCTCTGCTGTTTGTTGGCAATCAGCCACTAGAAACCCCAAACTCATAGTCAAAAAGTTAAACAGACAACCAGCCTGAGTTGATGTGAGTGTTGTGGTCAGGCTTTTAGCCAGAATTTGAAAAGTCACCATCCAAAATGTGCTAGAGGGCCTGCTGAAATGAACAATTTATAAGGCAATATATGAAAAATAAAAAAATTTCTTTAATAAGTGACGCCTGGACACCCATCTGGCTAAAAGCCTGGTTGTGTTGCGGTCATTAATGTGTGTTGTTTGGTGCAGGTTTCACTACTGTGAACGATGCTTTGATGAGATCCCAGGTGATGCAGTCAATCTTGGCGATGACCCCACCCTGCCACAAAGGTAAAACATTGTTTAGAACTGCCATGTTTACTAACTCCTAGGTTTTAATTGGTCATCAGACTTATTTTGTGGGAGGCTGAATAGCGAAGCGCACTAGTGATGTTATAACTCAGACAAACAAAATGGAATGGTGGAAGATTTGAAGCTTTTTCAAGCACGTCAGCAAGTGTTTTTAAAACAATTTTTAAAACGAAAGTTTGGCGTTCATTTTCCTGCTATTTCTCTCAGAACACCCTTTTGTTGTCAGACTCTCACGGGGTGCCAATAATTTGCATTTTATCTTTAGACTTCGCGTGCTTCGTTATTTAAAAGGCAGGGCACTTTTTATGATGTGTGCGGCATAGAGAAGACTGATAGAGTGCTATATCAATAGGCCACTTCGTAGTTGGCTATTGCCTCCATCTGTGTCAAAACAAGTCTCCGTGTGAAACCATTCATATGAAAATGTGTTCCCCAAACAGGTTCATTCTTATGCAAATCAATCTCATTTTCACATGAAAAGTTTTGCACCAGGACTCGTTCTGAAAAAAGAGGCAAACGGCAGCTTGAAAATTGCTTATTCCTTTGATATCTCACTCATATCTCCCCTCAATGGTGAATGTTTTTCTGGTGGCTCAGTGATTCTTTTCCCACTCAAAGGTCATCTGCTGTGATGGCCACTATTGTAGACAAGACTTACAATTCATAAGTCTGTTCTTAACTGCAGTAACAACTTAGTAGCATTTTCTTTCCTGTGTGTTGCCTTTGAATGTCTAGCTATCCCACATGGAATGCCTCATGAATTTTGAGATTTTTCATTCCAGGATTCCGTATAAGTTATTGATTCATTTGCCATTTGCTTTTAACCACGTTTGAGGACAAAGACCACGTTGATGAAAAAGAAATATATGTCATACTTTAACTTAGGTGAGGGGAGAGTAAGACATACCTTTGAAAGTGTTTTATTCTTTCACTGTTGCAGCTCTGTGCCTAAAAACAACTTTTCAAAGAACAAGAATGATCATCTTGACATGGAGCCGTAAGTGCCGTGATTAATATCTGAGCTTCTTCCTTTTTCCTGGATTGCTTGAATTGCAGTTCCTGTATATTTTGTGACATCTGTTACTTCTTTTTCGTTTCTTTGGTGCAGATTTGTTGATTGTATTGACTGTGGCAGAAAGGTACATCAAATCTGTGTTCGCCACCATGAGTACATTTGGCCAAATGGGTGAGCTATAATTTGCTGTCTAGATTTTCTTAAAGGTCCTAACATGCTGGGGTAACCCAGCTAAAGATTGTTGTGCTTGTAGAGGTTTTAATGTTTTGTGATGTTTAATGTTTCTGATTATTTGACTGGAAGGACCCTGTGAACTTTGTTTAAATGGGTTGTTCATTTTTTCTTTTTTCAGATATCAATGTGATAATTGTTTGCAAAAGCGGGGAGTGAAGAGGAAGGAAAACAGGTTTACCGCAAAGAGTAAGTGAAGTCCTAATGGTCTATAGAGCATATGCACATGATAGAGAGCATATGCATATGCATATGCATATGACGTCACGGCAGCCATTGGTGTTCCAAAACAATGAAACGGTGGCCATGTTGGTGTACCAAACCAATCCTGTGGGAGTTCAACTCTTTTCTTATGTAAACACTTTCTTTTGTTCCAACAAATTTGCATGGGTGCTGGACACGTGATTGCATACACTCTATAGGTGTTTGATAACTGGACTTTTTGCCATTATTTTGAATGTCATTAATCATTTTAAACACAATCTCTGTTTGTTATTGTAGAACTTCCAACAAACAGACTCGGTGATCTGATTGAAAAAAGAGTCAACAACTACTTACTTAAAGAAAACTGTCCAGGAAATGTGACTATACGAGTTGTGTCCTCTGTTGACAAGCAAGTGGAGGTTAAGCCTGGAATGAGAGCAAGGTTTGTTGCATATGGTTAATCATTTCTTTTATTGTATGGCTAGCTGCGTGAGTGGGCAAGATGAACCAAATCCTGCACTGTGATTGGCTACCCGAGTGGGCAAGGCAGCACTATCTTACCTGCTCAGGACTATCCACTGTGTCCCGCAAGAAAAATTTTCCCCAAAAGCCATATAATGAATTCTTTATTGACCAAGATTGTTTGGTCAAGATGGCTGGATATTGGCCTTGTTCGTTTTTTTTTTTTTTTGCGAGTTTATGCACCTCAAACTTGGCCAATATCCAGCCATTTTGACCTCATGCTTAGTCATTGACCTAATTTATTGCGGGGTGAAATGGCCCAGTGATTTGAGTGTTGGACTCTCCACTGTGAGCTCAGGGTTTTGAGCTCATCCTTTGTGTTGTGTTGTGTTGCTGTTGCTATCTCTTTTGGACCAAAGTAGAATTATCATGTCTCCATCCGAAATCTTATGAAATAAGTGCTACATCAAAACGTTGAAAATCTATTTAAAAGTTTAAAGTTTTCTTATGAGTAATCACAGTACTCGGCAAGTGATAAGGTTTAGGTAAAAGTAAGTTATTATGAGTGATGTTTACTTGCTCTCTATCTTCTTTTGTATATCACTTGTCTATCATCAGTTGCATTGAGGCAATGTTATTAGTATTATCGTACAAAGTAAAGTTCTTGTCAGAGTACTGTTTATCCACTGTAACCTGTCATTCTTCTTTGTTTTGTTAGATACGACGAGGAAAAGTTCCCTGGATCATTTCCATACCGTGCCAAAGCCATGTTTGCCTTTGAAGAAATTGACGGAGTGGACGTTTGTTTCTTTGGCATGCATGTCCAGGAATATGGCTCTGAGTGTTCCCTGCCCAACACACGCCGTGTCTATATCTCTTACTTGGACAGTGTTCACTTCTTTCAACCTCGTCATCTACGTACATCTGTCTACCACGAAATCCTCATTGGTTACTTAGAACATGTTGGCCATCTAGGGTATTGGAACGTTTTTATTGTTGCAAAATACAGTTCAGGTTTTATGGATAAGTTTGCCACTATCAAAACTGTGAAAAATTGGTTGACTCAAATAAATTTGGTGGAATGTTTCAATGATGCTAAGTCAAGAAAATGGTTTTGAGAAATAAAAGAAAGGATTTATTTCAAGCAGCTCAAGCTGTTGGCTTAAAAAGAAAACTGTTTATTTATGTTGGCTCTAGTACCTTTGAAAATACTTCCTAGGTGTTCTATAACTATTTTTGTAACTTCTTTTGTTTTGCTGCTATTACGGAAATTGTAAGAAGAAAGAGTTCGCTGATCAGGACTTTGGATAAATGGGTTTATAATTTGTGAGTTTCTCACGGTTAAAGGCTAATCCAGTTCAGTGTTTTTCAGGTATCAAATTGCTCATATATGGGCGTGTCCTCCAAGTGAGGGAGATGACTACATTTTTCATTGTCACCCTGTGGAACAGAAGATTCCCAAACACAAGCGACTGGTCGATTGGTACAAGAAGATGCTTGACAAGGCCGTCAGAGATCGTGTTGTCATTGAATACAAGGTAGAGTAACCAATTAATCAATCAATGAGTCATGAAGTAAGTTGGTCAGTCGGCCAGTCGGTCAGTCAGTCAGCCGGTCAGCCGGTCAGCCGGTCAGCCGGTCAGCCGGTCAGCCGGTCAGCCGGTCAGCCGGTCAGCCGGTCAGCCGGTCAGCCGGTCAGCCGGTCAGCCGGTCAGTCGGTCAGTCGGTCAGTCGGTCAGTCGGTCAGTTGGTCAGTGGGTCAGTCGGTCAGTCAGTCAGTCAGTCAATCAAAAACTTTATGAGCGTGTCGAAGTTTGGCTAGCCACAAGAACTAGCCAATGAAGTAACTTCATTGCGTAGCCATCTGCTACCAACAAAGACGGTACCAATAAAAATAAATTTCTTAACCTCCAGAGGATTGTCAGGTGACCTTCTTTATTTAAGCGTTTTGTCATTTCTATCATAGGATATCCTCAAGCAAGCCAACGATGATGGTTTAACAACAGCCAAAGAGTTGCCCTACTTTGATGGCGATTTTTGGCCAAATGCATTGGAAGACAGCATCAAAGAGCTTGATCAGGAAGAGGAGGAGAGGAAAACTGCTTTAGCAGCAGCGGCTGCTGAGACTGCCAGCAAAGAGGTATGAGACAATAGAGCGAATTAAAATCGCGTGTTTTTTGTAAAATTGTGTTATTTTATCACTGTTTTGCTATGCGATTAAGCAAAAGAAACTATGAGCCAATATTTGATTTTGCAGTAGCAGTCGACAATTAACCTCTCGTTGCTATGTCAATACATTGTGAAGCAAAGGGAGAATGGTAATGAGAAATCTTCTGCTGGAGGACTGATATACCACCAGGTGTTTTACGAACTGCATTCCAGACAGTAAGAGGACGCCATAGTTTGCATCATAGTTAATAGACGGAAATGGTTATGAAACCTGGCAAAATTCTTTTTTGTATGTTTTTGTTGGCTATTTTAGGGGGTGACCCTACACATGCACAAAACCTGGCAAAATTCAAAAGCTGGTTATTTGTGCTTATGCAACTAACCAATAGAAGCATTGCAATTATGTAATTCATGCAAAGTGAATGAGCATAGATGAGAATATGTGCAGGCTTCAGGACCTTCCAATCTAAATCTTAGCCTGTTTGTTTGTTTCTTTGATCTCTACTGGGTTTCTTAGCCATTTCCTCTATTAATTATGTTTGCACTTAGTCCAGAAAGGGCTTGCAGTTAAGCTTCCTTCCCTTATTATGGTATGAACTTGTCACGTGGATAGTACATCTTTGCGAAGAGTAAGCGAAAACGTCTGAAAGAGATTTTTGTTCTTTTAGGGTAAACCAGGCAGTAAGAATAAAGGAAACAACAAGCGAAGTAACAACAAAAAAGGCACAAAGAGTAAAGCAAACAACAGAAAGAACCCCAAGAAGACAAACGGTCCTGTGACGGGTCTGTGCGACTTGTCACAGAGATTGTACAACACCATGGAGAAACACAGAGAGGTAACACTTTATATATCTTGCTTGCCGCGTAGCATAAGCTGCATTTCGGTTTCTCTGTCACGCATTTTATGTATTTTATCTTTTATAAGTAAGAAAAAAGGCTGAAGCTTAAACATTTGTCGCACGAATGAGCGACGTTACAAATGGCACAACAGGAGAAACTTGGTTTAAATTTTTAAGTTCGTCGCTCATCATCAAGTTTTAGTCTTCCACAATCTAACCATCTAATATCTTTTAGGTTTATTCACTTCTCACCTCTTACGAGTCATAGTAAAGCGTTATTTGGAACTTTCCTTCTAATTGAAGGTCTCTTTACTTGAAATAGTGGCTTAACACATCGTGTTTTTACGGTCCAAAAAATCTTCGTTTTCCCATGTGAAAATAGAGACTTTAAGCATCACGTTTACGGTAGACGGCAAACGGCAAAGATTACCCCTGAATTTGTGTTCTTTTCCTCTAATCCTTAACTAAATCACACAAAAATAGAAACATGCCTCCTACTATTCACCGCAAATACAATTGTTTTCACTCTACTGTACAGACAGCTGAAGACAGACGGCAAAAGTGTCATTTTTGCTGTTTGCCGTTTGACGTTATCTTAGGAGAAGAGGAGTCTTAAACTTTCCCTTACCCACACAGGTCTTCTTCGTTATTCGATTGAATGGCCGTAAGACGCCTGAAACGAGTGATCCAGATTCCCTCATGAACTGTGACATCATGGATGGCCGGGATGCTTTCTTGACCCTTGCCCGCGAGAAGCACTACGAATTCTCATCTCTGAGGCGAGCCAAGTTTTCCACGATGGCCATGTTGGTCGAGCTTCACAATCAAGGCGGGGATCGGTTTGTTTACAGCTGCAACATTTGTAAGAGACACGTGGAAACGCGATACCACTGCAATGAATGCGAGGTATACAAGTCATCGTTGTTTAGTGTGGTCGTTAATATGAGACCTATTGCCTTCCCATTCAGGACGGTCAGACTTTCCAATAACGTTTTTTCCTGACCATCACAGCGAAGACCTTGTATAAAGTTAACGTGTGTCGTGAGTTAAAACAAACCTTCTCATTTTGATATATTTGCCTCTCTACATTCGTGATTTGTTATTCAGTCTATACCGCGGTACGTTGAAAATTTAGTCAGTTTCTGTATAAGAACTGGCCAAAGCGTTACATCCCATTGGTATTACAACATGACAAACGATAGTGTTACTACTTGTGTATATAAGAAATATGTAAGGATGTGAACGAATTGGAAGAATCAGTAGTATGTTTATTACGGACCTTTAGATCAGAGTACGACTTGAAGTAGTCTGTCCAGAGACATTTTTTTTTGCTGCGAGTTATTTTTTTTCAAGCGTGCGAGAGCCGCCGCGAAGCAGGCGCTAATTTTATCCTTTTCCAGGGCCACCCTCTTGCGTTCGGGCTTTTTCAAATCCCCTGCAGGGAATACTTTCACTTGCGATCTCGACGAACTCGAGACAAAATAGGGTCTGGACAGACGAGACTACAAGAAAAAGATTTTCGGTTAGTCTCTTACTCAGACACTCTGAGTTCGTCACTCAGTCTTTCGTCCTTACTGAGAACGTCTGCGTTGAGGTTAGTTATCAGTGGAATACTAAGAAAAGTTATTCAAGAAAGATTCGTTTTTAGACGAGCAACTCAACCGTCGTCGTTCCGTCACAAACTGTTTGTTAATATCTGTTCTTTCTTATTGGTACATGCGAGAAGGGTTTCCGCGGGCGAGTTAGATATAGAAAGGGTCTGCTGTAGACCTTTCCCGTATTTCACTTCAGTACGTTCGAACAATAGCACCAGAGCGAGGTTGGGGTGGACATTTTCGTACAATTGCTGTATTTTTGTCCACCCTGACCTAGACTCGGTGTTATTGTTTGCTGGAATGCGGGAAAGGTCTATTGTACTTTTTTCTATCCATTCCTATACTGACAAAAATAACTTACTGTAAATAACTGGCAATTTTGTTTCTGTTTACAGGACTACGATCTCTGCGTACCTTGCTACAACGAGAAAGGTCATGAACATAGCATGGAGAAATTGGGTCTTGGTTTGGATGATCTTGATCAACAGCAAGGACAAGAAGGAGAAAAGGAACGGCCTCAGCTCAGTGCACAAGAGGAACGACGATTAAAGATCCAGCGGTGCATACAGAGCTTGGTACATGCCACCCACTGCCGGGAGATCAACTGCCAGCACTTAAGCTGTGCCAAAATGAAACGCGTTGTGGAGCACACAAAAACTTGCAAGCGAAAAACTGGCGGAGGATGCCGTATTTGTCAGGAATTAATTCACCTTTGTTGTTATCATGCCAAGCATTGTCTAGAAAGGGAGTGTGTCGTGCCATTCTGTCGGCATATAAAACTCAAGCTCAGACAACAACAAACGCAGCAAAGATTTGCTCAGTCTCAAACCCTTCGTCGTCGTATGGCTACAATGCAGCGTCAGGGAATGCAGGCTCCACCTCAGATGCCAAATCAGGCAATGCAACCGAGCATGGCTGGTCCTGGGGCAATTGGACAGGCTCACCCAGCTTTACAACCCCCTCAGCAGCAGCCACCTCCTTACCAGCCACCTGTTATGCCTCAGAAACCTGTCATGAGTGGGCCCCCTCCACGTGCAGTAGAAGCGGCACAAAAAATTGCGCAGGCTGCTACTATGCAAGCTGTGGGTGGCAGTGTGCCAATGGGTTTGCCAGCCCGGAATATGCCACATCCTCAACAAGTTTTCCAACAGCCGCAGCCGCCCAACATGGCAGCTCCTCCTGGTCCCATGGCACCCCCTGGTATGATGAGACAGCAGAATCCTGCTCTTCTACAGCAGGGCATGGGACAGAACTTACCACAGGGAATGCCTCCACAGAGCATGCCTCAACCTATGCAGCAAACCATGCCACAGCAAATGCAACCTTCATCTGGGGCACCAGTTCAGCCGAACAATCCTGCTGCATTGGAGTGGTACACTAAACAGCAGCAGCAGCAGCAACAACAGATGAACCACCCTAATGCTATGATGAATGCAGGGCAACAACAATTTCCTCAAATGCCGGGTGGACAGCAACAAGGTTTACCAGTTGGACATCAACAGAATCGTCCCAATATGGCTGTACCGGCTTCCCTGCAGCAGTTGTTGTATACGCTGAAGTCTCCAAATAGCCCTCAGCAACAGGCTAAAGTTTTGAGTATACTTAAACAACATCCACAACTGATGACAGCATTTATCAAACAGAGACAACAACAACAAGCACAACAGCAGCAGCAGCAGCAGCAACAACAACAGCAAGGCATGCCTCCAGGAATGCAACAAGCGATGCAACAAGGAATGCCACAAACTATGCAACCAAACATGCAACAGAACATGCCGCACAACATGCAGGCTGGCATGCAGCAACAGGCAATGCAACAGAGTATGGCACAGGGAATGCCGGGTATACAGCAGGGAATGCAAAATCCCATGCAACAAGGAATGCATCAAGGTATGCCTAATGCTGTGCCGCAGAATATGCAGCATGCGATGCAGAATCCGATACAACAAATGCCAATTGCTTCACAGGCCAGCGTTAGTCAGCAGCAACAACAACAGTGGTTAAGACTTCTTCAACAGCAGCACCAACAACAACAACAACAACAACAACAGCAACAGCAACAGCAACAGCAACAGCAACAACAACAGCAACAACAGCAAAACATGTTCCAACAACCTCAACTTCCTCCCTTTTCACAAATGAATGCAATGAGGAGAAGCCAAGTACAGAATCAAATGACCAATTCACAAGCGGCAATGATGCATCCGCATAATGGCCAACCGCAGGCGTCGATACCGCAACACTTCCAACCGAAACAAGCGCAGTTCCCGTCACATCTGATGTCCCCACAATCCGCGAACCCCATGTCACCGCAACAAGTTATACACCCATCGCAGTCACCTCGACCAGTCATGTCTCCTCAGCCTCATCCAGCAGGAGCATCGCCTCGGCAGCAGCCTACCATGTCCCCACGTCCACAACAAACTTCACTAACGTCTCCTCGGCCCACGCCGTCCCCTCACCAAGCCTCCACGCCTCAAATGGACAATCAGCTAATGGACAAACCATTGTTTAGTGCGCGAATGACGCTTCCCCCGATCCAGACTCCTACGGACCCGGACCTGTCAATTGGTCAGGAAGATTCACCGCTGACGCCACAAGATCAGTTGACCAAATATGTCGAAAATTTATAATAAAAAAAGAAAAAAAAACCCGACGGGGAAAAAAAGAAGAGAATTTTAAAGTAAGGAGAGAGAAGAGATGAAATGTACTTTATGGAGCAAACTTTATATGTAGTTTTATCGCCGCGAGAATCAAGATGACGAAATTTTCTACCATTCGTACCATTATTATATAATTAATTTGTATAGCTGTTTAGCTGACAAATATCAGCTTATGAGGGATCGATCCCTCGACAAAAGTCAGAGAGGAACAACACTCCAAGGAATTTTAGTTTTAGAGTTTTTTTGAACGTCTTCAGTCAAGAGGTACTGTATAAAGCGCACATTCTTACAATGCATATATATTTGTCCAAACGTGCTTGTGTACCAATAAATGTGTGCACTTTTCACAACGTTTGTGTGCTTATTAGCCTTCGTATAATTTGTAAATAAAATTAAAGCCCTTATTTCGAAAAAGCGTCGCGACTTGTCTTGTATGCTTGCTGTTCATCTAAGCGAAAACTCGGCCCTTTGAAAGGCATAAATACCTAGATAAATTAGGGAGCGACATAGGAAAATTTTAATGAAACTGGATAAAAGTTGGAGAAGAAAATGAATAAAATGGGGGAAAAAAGAATTGGCAAATTAACTCAACCAAGCACGAAATCACTCTGTACGTTGTGTCCATTCATCAGTTTTTACTTCAAATCCGCTTCTCTTATTCATTTCATTTCCTTCATTTGAAATCGTAACAATCGTACCAAAACTCTTGGCCATTCTTGGGAGCTTTAAAATTTTACGCCTAGGATGGTAGTTTTAGATTGTATTGAACTAAAGAGATGATGAGTGAATAGTGTTAAACGTATATCGATGAAAACGTAGCATTCGGGTATGTTTCTCCCTTGAAGAACACGACTTAATGGAGGAGAATGTAAATGTGAATTGACAAGCTACCGATTAAGCCTGGTCCTCACCAGCGACGCAAGCATAAGCATAAAAGAAGCTTATACGCTAGTGAGGACGGCCACGACATAAGCATAAGCATAATACCAAAACCTTGCGTTTTTGTTATGCCTATGCCCATGTCGTCATTGTGTCCGGTGAGGACATGTTGGCACAAGCGTAAACGTGAGACTATCAGCCAATCAGCGAGCACTTTATGCTTATGCCAACGTGCCCTCACTAAACATAAGCATAAGCATAAGAAGAAAGCTTATACTTATGTCGTGGCTGTCCTCACTAGCGTATGAGCTTCTTTCTGCTTATGTTTATGCTTAATCTTGCGTCGCAATTGAGGACCGGCCTTTACAGAAGAGCTCACAGTCGCCTAGCTCGCTTACAAGACAAGGAGCCATGAAAACCTCCGTTTCCTGCAAAAGCGGCTAGATCGAAATTGGACAAGCTTTATTGGAAGAATAACAAATAACGAGAGTAACGGCCCACTTTAATGAAAGTCTGTGTTCTTTGAGAGTAGAAATACTCCTAGTTGCTTCATGCTACAGAAACCGGGATAAGCTCCGGCCTGCTGAGCCATTTGGCTCGTATGCAGACCTAACTTACTCTTTTACTTTAGAAGGTGCGAAACTCAAAAAAACTACAATCTCCTTTCCGACGGCAGGAGATTCACATCATACGATCATGAAATTCGTCATCACGTGATCACTTTTTTCGAATCCGTGTATGAAACCAATAGTAGTTGGGGCTGATTGTATGAAATTTTCCACTGGTTCCTGAGCGATTCCTACTGACTTCAAGAAAGGACAACAAATAAAGTATAACGTTTATCCATAGTTTTAAAAAGCCATCCTTGAGTGCGAGATTTTTGATGTTCGAAATTTACGGAACCAAATTTCTCACCGTATTTATACTAACAGCCTTCTTACGCCAAACTAAAACAATATTTATTGTCAGGTACTTTTGCATTGCCTCCATTGATTAACCCTTCCACGAAAATAGTCTTTATTCGAGATGCATCGCAACAAGTTCGAATTCGCGGACAATATCTGCAAAATTGTCCACATTTCAGTTTTTACACCCACGAGAACCCGAGTTCTGCGAAGAACGCCACTGAGGTAGAGGAGCACAATCCCTGGGGACTACCCCCGGGGGGGGGAGACTCCCATATAAAACGGACGATGGTGCTCGTCGGAAATTTTAAAAAGAGTCCCTAAGAGGCTCCAAGATTCTGCTTTGTGGGCGTGGCTTTTTGACCCCTAAAAGGTACCAATCCTAAAACAACAAATAATCTCCTGTCATATTTTTTGGCTAAACTCTCGCCCTAAAAGGCGCTGAAAAAGCTCTAGCCTACTTGGCAGGCGTCCCAAGAGGAGGGAAAGGGGAAAAAACGAACGCGTGATGCCCGCGATGGTGGTCTCGAGGCGTGCTCGATCCTCCCGCGCTCATTTTACCCCTTTCACTCCCCTTCTACGGCCTGCCACAAAGGCTACAAAAGCTCCCGCTGTGTATCTTTTGAGGCTGAACACCTTAACAGGTTTCAAAGCCGCCTATTTAACCACGAGCGACTTTGAGAAAGTTTAAACCCCAGAGACTAACCTGAGGCGCCCTCTCAGTCCCATGTAGAAACAGACCCAATGGTGGTTGGGCGCCTAACTAGAGGTACAACTGCGTTTATAGGTCTTTATATACTGAGACGAAGTCCTCCGTAAGTAGCTACTTGACTTGGCGAGCAATGATATAAACAAGCTTTATCAAGATGATGAGACACATTACTATAGATGACCCTCATTTCACCTATATGTGTTCCATCTATATACATGTTACCCTGCCAGCAGGGTCCCTGAAGATCGAAGAGACCTCTGCTCGCAGCGTATATACATGTGTACAATTGCAAACAAATATTGGCCAAGAACAATGGTATGTGCTGTTATTGGACAACGAAATACACATAAATCACCTGAAGGTGAAGGGCAAAGCATTTTCGAGGGAGCCTCCCCGGTATGAAGCCGGTTGGCGAGGCCAGAACTGCTCTAAAACGCCCTGAACGCTGCTGAGGCCGAAAGTAACGAGAGTAGTTCCTTCCAGAACTTAACCGGATACACTGTTTTTTTTTTTTTTTATAAGAATATTGTTTTTCCGGCCGAGGCTGAATATTCTTATTTTTATGCCGATTTTAGCCTAAAAATATTCTTTCGAATATTCTTAGATTATAGCGTATGATATAATTGCATTGTATTTACAAATTTTCAACACACAAAATTATATTCTCTTCAAAATCTCGGCCTCGGGTTTATTTCTAAAATTATTCTTAAAATTTCGCAAATTTCTGACTTGATATTCCTATAAAATATATTCGTATCAAAACAGAGTGTATTTTATACTCCTTCGTACAAAACGAAATGGCCAACAGTTTCTTTTAGAGTAACTACAAGCTTCCTACATGTACGACAAAAAAACTTAATACAAGAGAAAGGTCGAAAGGGGGGAGCGTTGTGCAAGGAAGGTTATTTCAGCCCTCTACCCTAGTCACCTACTGTCGTCAGCCCGCTAGCCCGCGCCCTCTTAAGTTTACCAGTACCAAGTGGCCTTTCCGTCAACGGACAACCCACGTGCACGGAAATTTGATCCGCTCTACGGGGTTAGTTAGGCGGGTAAGGGATTTTGATGGGGAGGAACTGGGAATGAGGGGTCCGCCATCTTGGAAAATACCCATAAGTCATTTCGATGAATTGCGTTCTCAGAGAGTGAATGATGGCGGAAGTGGAGGTAAGAAGTGTCTTGATGCCTTTAGAGCCAAAATATTATTGCTTAACGCCCATCAGTGATCTATCTTTGAAGTTTTATACTACATTGTATTTTTTATGTCCGATATTTTTAAAAGACATTCGTACAGAACCTCAGTTATATAAAAATTTGCGTTCATGTTCTAACACACGTTTTGCCACAAGTTTTTACTACGTAACACAGCGAAAGATCGAAAAATCATACGTACAAACATGAAATACTCCTAGAATGTTATGCTAGACATGCTAAATTACACTCCAATAGTGCGTTGCCTGTGATAATTTAATAGTATCACAAAGTTTGTGTAGTAACTCCTCTTTACGATAACGTGTTCTGGCATAATTTGAACATTCTGTATAATTTGCTATAAATACGGTGTAAAGCCATTCACGGGTAACGTGAGGAAAATTAATTAATCAATGAAGAATGCTGGTGACATAAACGGATAAACTAATAAAGGAGAACATTGTACGTACCCACCAATTACATTTAATGATTTGTATCGGAATCACAGAGAGCTTCTGTTTGTTCCTTTGATAGTCATGTTCCTTGCATTTGCATACATTATTCATGCATTAAAACAGTTTAATGACTCCCTGTCGACCGGAACGCTTTGTGAGCGTTTGTTTTTGTTTTGATTCTGTTGCTGAAGAAAGCGCGAGAGAAATGAAAAGGATTTTGGGCATTTGGTGGCCTCAAATTTAATTTAGTGGCAAATACAGCTGTAATGTGTTTGCTTTTGATGTCTTTTGGCTGAGAACTTTCATATTTTGAAATTCTGACCCACGTTGTGAGGTGACATATGTCAGCTACAAAGTTCCTGCAACCGTATATAGGCGCCATGCCAAGAACTGAAACAATTCCATAAAATAAATTTGCTTTTTTATTCTCTTTCTTAAGTGTAGATATATCCAGAATGTAAAGGTCTTTCTTTGCTTAGAATACTGTCTTAGTCCTGATGTAGAATAAGAGTAATGAATAGTATTTCTTTCTTTGTTGGCCATTTCAAACCTCACTTTAGAATCCCTACAGTGTTTTTATCGAGAACTGGTCACATACAGATACTAAAATGTTTTTTTTAGCTTTCTCATGTTGCAGGAAAAGTTTGCTTCTCAAGGAATAAAACACAGCGGAGAACGGACTTAGTTTCATCAATATAATTTCTCGAGGAAAATTGCTCAGCATAACTGATAAAAAGCAAAGTGCTGAGTTCAGCAAGTGACAAATGTTACACTTCATTAAACTGCAAACAATTCATCAACCAATTGCCATAAAATATGGGTCATTTTGCATACATTCTGGGAAAAATCACGTGGCCTTGAACACAGTTATCAATGGTAACACACTGGTGCTCTCAGAGTTTTTCCTTCGGGGAGTAAGAGCAGTTGTAACACAAGCTAAAAGAGACTAAAAGTGACTGAAAGAGTCTAAAAAGAGACTAAAAGTGTGCTTGTCAGATGGTGTACATACTAGACAAATTTTGTTTATTTTGCAAAACAAATCTGTCATCAGTTTCGTGATACAAGTGTGCACAGTGATTTTTTTCCACCCTACCAAATTTTTTCAAGCCTCACCAAACTTAAAAGGCACCAGTATCCTGCTTTGGAACAGGGCAAATTTTTGTCAGGCATGAAAACTGACAGAATTTTCAACTGACATGCCATGATCTGACAGAAAATGGCATCCAAGAAAATTTCTCCTTGATCTTTAATCTCGTCATGCAGTACAGACCTCGAACCCAGTTAGCAAGAGGTATATATTTTTCTTGATCAACAGCAACAACAAGAAGGAGAAGAGGAACAGCCCCAGCTCAATGCACAAGAGGAACGACGGTTAAAGATCCAGCGGTGCCTACAGATCTTGGTACATGCCAACCGCTGCCCAGAGGTCAACTGCCAGCACTTAAGCTGTGCCAAGATGAAGCGTGTTCTGGAGCACGCAAAAAGGTGCCAGCGAAAAGCTGGCGGAGGATGTCGTATTTGTCAGGAGTTAGTTCATCTTTGTTGTTATCATGCTAGGCGTTGTCTAGCAAGGGAATGCCTTGTGCCTTTCTGTCGGTACATTAAAGTGAAGCTCAGACAGCAACAAACACACCGTGGTAGGGCCAGAAATCATCGTCAAGTATTGCAGGCTCCACCTCAGATGCCAAATCAGGCAATGAAACCAAGCATTGCTGGTTAAAGGCATCGTGTATAACAAGTTTCAGCCACTTATAGACAGTGCTATAGTTCTGAACTCAAACATTGCGTTTCTTGTAAAAGTACTTAGAATAAATGGAACAACCTTAGCAAGGACTTGTAGCAAATAACAGACTAACACTAAAGTTTTTTAATGGAATTAATGCATGGTGTAGAATAAGTCTGGATAGATGAACAAATACTGTAACTAATTTTTCTAGTTTTCTCAGCCTTGTATTATTTTTATTTTCTGTCTGTTTATGGTATTGTTGCTGAATTAATAGCCTTAGGGCCTTTTTTAGGAATGCTCAATAAAGTAAATGACTGTGTGTGTATACATGTTTTTTACAGGTAACTCTGCCTTTAATAGTACATTGCCATTCATGAATTAGTTAATTGGTATGAACATAATTGTTAGTTACCAACTGTGTCATGAACTAGCAACATTTGTGATGATCCATTGTGAAGTCCGAAGTGATGATCAGCACGATGTCAAATCCTCAGTGTTTGATAATAAATTATTGCTACTGCCTCTCCCATTTCAGAGATTCCATAAACTCCATAGCCAAGTCCTCTGAAACTACCTGCTTGAATCATTGTAATACCTGACTCAGGGCTGTCATTAAGGGCTGAAACCCATAACACCTGCTATGGCTGAGTATGCTTCATGGGCACTTGATGTTACAGGTGAACTTGCCTCAGTTGTGTATACAACTCAGCCATAAAGTAACAAATTTGTTATGGTCGTGAAGATCAAGGCTACAGGTGAATCAAAACTTAATGAAAGCCCTGCAACTGTTCCTTTACATGTCCCTTATTTAATTATGTCATGTGTAATGTGGTGTTGAAGTGTTTGGGTAAAGGAGAATTTGATGTGAAGGTCAAATCGCTCTTTATTTATATTGCATAAATTATGAATGCCAAACCGTGTCCATCTCAGTGATCCCCCTCCTGTCGATCTTTGACTGTTGCGTACTTGGCAACCACACTGTAATCATAGGGCACAATAAGAAAAGCAGTCACATCCTTTGCAGAAATGCGGCACAGTTATACCCACAGTGCCCTAGGATTAATCCACTTATCCAGCCTTATAACTTTGAAATTTATCAAACCACCACACCCTTCATCTAAGAACCACCAACACAAGGAGGGTGGCAAAGGGTTCATGTATGACACGTGGTGAGAAAAAAAAATAGTGTTTGACATGTGAAAAGCTACCAAAGGACACATTTGTAAATTTAACCTAAATTTTGTTAAAGTATCTGCATAAAATAGGATGAAAGCACGCCCCCCTTTCAATAGGATAAAAAAAAAAAAGGGATATATATCTTGATTTCCCTTAAATATACCTCTACTGAAAATCTTTGACATTTACCACGCTTAGTTTTAAAACACTAACCTCTTATAAACCGAGTGAAAAATATCTGCCCATGAACCAAGTGCAGTGAGGTCCATAGAAACATAACAGAGGTCCAATATTCCCCAGAATAGCTCAAGTAAGCTAGGTGAGTAAGTAGTTTATTATATGGCACCCTAGTTCCGATTTAAAGGCTTATTTGCAAACAAAAAATGCACGGCTAATGAAAGTTTCAAAGGAAACAGTTTGTATGGTTAAGTCCCGATGAAGAAAGAACCAGTCAGAATGCTCTGATTTCCACCAAGACTACCTTGAATGTACAATATCAGAATCCATTATATTTTTACGATAACTGCAGAAATTCTCACATGCTTATTGGCTAATTTTCATATCAAAAAGTGGACAGATACATGAATTTATAATATATGCGATGCATCAATGAACGAGAGCAGATAATTGGACAATAAATATTTTGTTATCGTAAAAAACAAATTAATGTCAGTTTTTCATGCGTCTGTCCTGTTATTGACAAAATTATCAATTTTGTCATAACATCGTCAAAGTAGTCTGTGGATCCACTCGGCTATTGCCTTGTGGATCCACAGCAACTCTGACGATGTTATGACGAAATTCATGATCAATAACAAGACAGACGTATGAAATTTGCTAAATCATTGCTTTACTGGCGAGCAGGGAACTGGGGGTGGGAGGTATTTCGTGATGCTTAAGTGACGTACCATTTGAGAACGCGTGTCGTTGAATCCAGAATCCAGAGGCCCGAACCCAGAAAAGTTTGTTGTTTGATAAACTCTTGAAAGCCTATTGATCATGTTTCGTTTGCCCGGGACTGATAGAACACCCGATAAAGCTGCTGTAGAAGAGGAAAGGAGAAGAGCCAAACAAAACGTGTGGTTTACAATGAAAGCTTTTGTGGCCTATGTGGTTCTGCTGAGATTAGGTAAGGCCGGTAAGGTGACATTTCATGTTGACTTCAATTCTAGGCTGTGTTGTTCAGGAATTCCG